AATTAATATTGGAGAATTTCCCTTCATATAGCGCTATTTTTCCTACAGACGCATCATTCATTATTGCGAATTAATTAACTTTATCGGCGAATAGCTAGATACATAGAGATACATTTATATTAATGGAACAAGAGAATTATAAAGACAGCACGGCACATTCAGCGGGCATCATTTTCATTGACGGTGCGCTTCATGGTTAATTTGTGCAATCTCGGAAAGCGGCGAACATGCATGTAGTGCATAGCTTTGCAACTAATTTTCGAGAGCATACTCTGTCGAAAATTTACGAGCGGAAAAGTGGAAATTTTTACAGTCCATTCAATAAAATCCGCAAATTAATTTTACATAATTAATTTAAGTGCGTCTAGAATATTATCTCTATAACATTTCGAATACGATTCGTATGCGCAAATCAATCCTCGAATTCGAGTATTATGTGATATTATATTTGCTCGACTTCACAGAAAATCCAGTGTATGTGTTTTGATTAATTGCTTTTGTTATAATTCTTCAAGTGAGATACATGTATATAGAATAATAAACTATAAATAGTTATTTTGCGCGACTTTATTTATCTGCATTTATTAGACGAAATATAATTTTAACGAATAATAATTTTGAGCACTGTATTTTTTTAACGATTTCTTTTTACCACGAAATAATAGTTTTATTAATAAACCGATATTTCAGAGCAAAATACTGCAATTGCTACAATGCGTGGCCTTGCAGGGAAGAGATGATATTCGGTTGCTGCTTTCGATTTTCGTTTGAGGCTACCGTTTATTATAGCGGTCAACTTAATACGATGTCGGACCCGGAATCGCGCTGTGTGAGTCGTTCGAGAGACGTTCGCGGAATGAAGTGCATGTCCAGCCAAGGACCCGACCCAATTGCGTCGCATCGGGAACGTGTGCGCGTACATCGAGATGATGCTGTGGCTCAGCATTCGGGATTAGGAGCACCTATCTTCCGGTTTTCGACTTGAACATGGGACACTCGAGTGGCCCGCGCTTTGTTCCTTTCCCCGAAATTCACGTTCCATTATCAAGCTCGTACGAGTGTACCCCGAGAAGGACCCCGGAAAGTCCGCCTGTGTGGGACAGCGGTAAGATAGACGATTCGTGTCTGTGAAAGAGAATTTGTCGGAAAGAGAGGATGGGACGATATAAACGGAATGCGATTTATGCGAAGAACAAATACCTGTAAAATGCGGTGTTACTGCCAGTAAGGTATTGAATTTAATGAAAAGTTCCGAGCTGATTGGTACAATTAATTTAAAAATCAAATAAAACAAATAAATTCTTCTTTTTACATTATTAGAAAGGGAATAGTGAGATGTATTAATCTGACAGTAGACATCTGTCATACTAGTTGATATCTGTAATAATATAATTGTCTATAATCAACGATCAACCTTTGGTTCTTTGAGGGATGTGGTGAACGTGACACAGAATAGTGCAAGGCGCCTATTATGGTGTTCTACATAGAGAGAGGCCCGGAAAGTTACATTAATTATAACTTAACGAGCATGAACTACACACGTATTACACGACCGCGTC